CTGTGAAGGCAACGCTACGTACGTTGTCTGAGGTGGTTAAATGATGCTGCATGCTGGAGACCGATGGTGGCATCTGTATCCGGGCTTTCCGCTGCAAATCGCCCCCAAACCCCACCCGACGCTTTACAAACCCAGACATCCGCCGATGTGTTTTTCAATCCGCGTCCCCACGAGTCCCTTGCCTTCCCCTGGGGTAATAACTCGTCCCTGCTTCCTGGGCCAGACAACGGCCCTCAGAAAGAATAAATCGAGGAACCCATGCTAGCTGAAAAATAGCATCGTCGGATGTCTGGGCTTGTTCCCATTCCCACCCCACACGAAGCTTTGACACGTCTCCCCTGCGGTGCCTCTTGTAAAGCTTCCTTCGTCTACGGCGGGTTGGATCCAGCAAGCGGTCGGGCTAGCGACAGGAACGGTCCGTAGCCAAATACGACTTCCGACTCCTCGCTCTCGACCCGCAGGTACGGCCCACGGCACGCCCCCAGTCACTGGCACCGCCCCTCGGACACGTCCTGCGGCCAGGCCCCCAGACGCGGCACCCTCGGCGCCACCCCCACGACGCAGCCCCAGGCACGCCCAGCGACACGCCCCCAGGGATGTCCCTAGACATGGCTCCCGGCACGCCCCCAGGCACGCCACCCGGGGCCGTGCCTGTCATGGCCACGCGCGCGGCCCCCGGCGGCCGCAAACTGCGATCAACCTCTCCCCCTTCTCCTTCTCCTCCTCCTCCTCCTCCTCCTCATCCTCCTCCTCCTCCTCATCCTCATCCTCGTCCTCATCCTCATCCTCGTCCTCCTCTTCCTCCTCCTCCTCCTCCTCGGCTCTCCTCGACTCTGACACCCCGCAGTGGGGCCTGCACTGCGGCGAGCGGCGCGGCAGAGAGCAGCTGGCCGCCGACAAGCAGCGCAGCGTCCGGCAGCACAGTGGGGAGCAGCAGCACGAACCTGGCTTCTATACGGACGGTCAAATCGTGCATCAAGGACGGGTGGTAATGACGCCAGGCCCCTGGAGGCCGAAGTTGGGACTTTCGGGGCGGCGGGCGACCAGTCAGAAAGGCAAAGGACGGGCCGCAGAGGCAAGGGCAGAAGAGCAACCCTGGATGCAGGCACGCGTCCTCCGGCTGCACGCAGGAGTGACCCTGGGCAAGAGGAGTGACCTTTGGTGCGCGGCTTCTTGGGGGGGGGCGCGAGGAGGCCAAACGCAAGCGCGTAAGAAGCTACCATCGCACCGAGCGCGCGCCAAAGGTCACTCCGGCGAAGGGTCACTCTTACGCCGAATCTTAAGTCGGGCCTTTCCCCCTACAGGGGGATGTTCGACGAAAGCTAAAAAAACATCACAATAACAAAAAAAATGGGTACTATTTTTGATTATTGTTGTTTAAACCTTTTTGGTGCATTTTTGTTGTATCTTTTTTCATTTTTCGCCGAAGATCCCCATGTGTAAGGGGACAGGCCCGACAGAAGCCTAGCCGAGTCCTTGCTATGGGCGCGCTGGCTCTTCCACGACTCGGACGTGCAGGGCTGCGAGCTGCGCGGCCGTGGGCCGGTCGGCGAGCGGGCGCAACCGCCCCCCCTGCTTCGCCCTGCCCCGCCAGAGCCCTTCTCCCTCTCCGCGCTCCGCCCTGGCCGCCCGGGCCCCAGGGGGATGGGGTAGAGGGGGGGGAGGAGGAGGAGGAGGAGGAGGAGGAGGAGGAGGAGGAGGAGGAGGAGGAGGAGGAGGAGGAGGAGGAGGAGGAGGAGGAGGAGGAGGAAAAGGAGGGGGGCAAGCGTACAACGACGACGACGACATCCCCGCCTAGTCCTCTGGCTTGGACAGCCTGAGGTCACGGAGAGCCGCCCGAGCAGCATCATGCTGAACCTGGGCGCTGGAGGACGCCTCGGGAGGGAGGAGACGGAGGTGATGGTATATGTGAGACGCTAGATACCCTTCCTCAAGGACGGGGACGGTGCAATAGCCAGGGAGACGGTCCAGGGGGCCGAGACAGAGGGGGCGACAAGGACAACGGAGAGTCATGAGCGACGACGACGACATCCCCGCCTAGTCCTCTGGCTTGGACAGCCTGAGGTCACGGAGAGCCGCCCGAGCAGCATCATGCTGAACCTGGGCGCTGGAGGACGCCTCGGGAGGGAGGAGACGGAGGTGATGGTATATGTGAGACGCTAGATACCCTTCCTCAAGGACGGGGACGGTGCAATAGCCAGGGATCCCAAGACGGTCCAGGGGGCCGAGACAGAGGGGGCGACATCGGAGGACAACGGAGAGTCAGACGAGATGAGCTAACCTGGGCTATGTATAAGAGTGCTGGAGCTTACCAGGGCAGGTTTGACATCCTAGAATGCATTGCAGGCGGCCTCGGGAGTTCAAGATTCTGTGACGCGTGAGCCAGCCTCCAGCCAGCGTTTTGAGATAGGCCCAAGACCAGGAGGGAGGGACACGCCGAAGGAGGGAACGGGCGTCCTCGAAACCACAAGCTCTGAACAGCGGCTCGCTGGACGGTTGCATCTTGCACAGTCTACTCGGGGAGAGGTCGGGCAGCGGGCGGGCGGCCCACAGCGAAGCACACGCTATCTCTCGCAGCTCCCTGAGGCTTGAATGGGGGCCTTCGGGGCAGGAGGGATCCTACAAGCACGGGCGGCCTCAGAAGTGAGCTCCTTCAGGGCTCCCGCGGCGGCGCCAGCCAAGTATTCCACGAACGCTTTTACACGAACGCTTTTGCACTCCAATGCCTCGGGGACAAGGTGCCTGGTTCGAGCATGGGCAGGCGCAGTTCGTCGTGATGTGACTTACCGTCACTCATCATCTTCAGCCATCGATACACACGTGCATGCTTTGGGAGAGTGTGAATCGCAGTCCGTGCCATCGTCGCAGCACTGGCAATCTCGGGCGGGAAGATCCTGGGGCCTCCAAACTCCTGCAACAAGAGCCATTCGACAGCACGGAAAGTTCCAAGAGGGACTCTGAAGACCTGTGACAATACTCCAAGCTCGATCTGCTTCACAATCTGGGGCAGCGGCAGGTACTGCATCAGATAATTCAAGACCGATACACACCGCGTGTTATATAAGACCGAAGATGTCGAGGCAGCCGTGCTACGTTTTCCTACAGCAGCGCCACGAGCTCGATATTTCTGAAGAGGCTTTTTCCCAAGAGTCGTGCACGGTCGCCTGGGGGCCCACCCCTCTTCCAAGATAGAAAAGCTTCCCCTCGATTATGAACTTGCTCCATGACGGGATGAACGCGTGCAAAGACTTCCTCACCTTCGACTCGAGCTCAGGGCAGCATCGACCTGAGACGGGGACCAACACACACACTTTGCAGGCTTCAAATTTAAGTGAGCTATCTTCTCAGTGGCGGTCATAACTCTATGAAGTTGCATGAGCATACGCATCGATTTCAGAGCGCCGCCGAGATCATCTGCACAGGCTCGGTTGATACCAAGCTTCTTCTCTTCAAAGCACCGGTGCAAATCACGAAGGGCAGGAGCGAGAGCGGCCGCGAACAGAGAGCCCGACAGCGCATCACCCTGGATAATCCCCAACCCTACCCAGAAAGCATTGAGGAGGAGGAGGAGGAGGAGGAGGAGGAGGAGGAGGAGGAGAAGGAGGACGAGAAGGAGGAGGAGGAGGAGGAGGAGGAGGAGTGCGCTCGGTGCAAAGACTCCTCCTCGGTGCGCGTTCTCCAGGGGGCGCTTCTTCTCGGACTGCAGAAGACATTCACGCGGCTGCAAGCTGGGGAGGGGGGCCATCGAGGGGTCCTGGGGGTTTCCCGGCGGCGCGCCGAGGGTGCCGGGGCAGGGGGGGGTCATCCAATCAGTGGCAACGTAGGGGGGATAGCTCAGGGGCCGATGCATCGGCGCCTAATCGCCCATCCATCGCCGACAGGGTCCGATAACCCGCCACACCCAGGAACGTTCGGATTCGCTATGGGGGGCAGATCCCCGATCAGTCGGCGAACGTTTTCCTATTCGGCGTTTCGACATTCGGAGGGAAGGGGGGCGGGAGGGGGGGGGCCGGCTCTCTGTTTGCAACATTGCGTCCGATGGGGGGAACTCCATCTGCTTGAAACAGGCTCCAACAACAGCCAAGATCTACTCCATGGGGGGGAAGGGGGTGCGATGGCCCGCGCCGTTAGGCAAAACAATGAGTAAGAGAACAACGACAAGTAAAGGCTGCAGGAAGCTCACAAGAGGAGGGGCCCTAGGACGGGAGGGTGTCTTGCAGCATCGTTGATGCATCTTGGGTTCACTCTGGTCCTCCTGCTCTTTCTCCTCCTCCTCCTCCTCATCCTCCTCCTCCTCCTCCTCCTCCTCCTCCTCCTCCTCCTCCTCCTCCTCCTCTCCCCCCTCCTCCTCCTCCTCCTCCCATCCTCCTCCTCCTCCTCCTCCTCCTCCTCCTCCTCCTCCTCTCTCCTCCTCCTCCTCCTCGTCCTGCTCCTCCACCACTTCGAAACTCGATGCTGTAGGCGACTTCGGCGACAGCTTCGAAGGGCACTCTCCACGCCTCTCCCTAGGGCGCGTGTCGTCGGCGCCGTCGTTGTCTTCGTCGTCGTCGTCATCGTCGTCGTCGTCGTCTTCGTCGTCTTCGTCGTCGTCGTCCGGTCGTCGGCGGCGGCGTCATTGTCGCCATCGCCGTTGCCATCGATTCGATTCGCGGGGCCATGAAGGCGACTCCAGGCGGGCTGCCTACACGCCCGAGCACGCCGCCGGGGCGCGGGCCGCAGCCGCGCCGAGGGCGGACGCGGCGTCCCTGCACGGCTGCGTAGGCGGGCAGCACCCGCATGGCGAGGTCCAGCACGTACATGCCGTACGCGGCGACCCCAGCGCCTTCCCCCCTGCGCTGCTGAACACCTCCGCGCAGTTGACTCCTTGGGTGCAGCCCTCGATCCCGACGGCGGCGCTGGCTGCGCTGCCCCGTAGCCCTCTCGCCGATGCGCCGCTCCTTGAGCTTTGGGCAGCCCCCAGCTTGGCCGAGGACCATGTAGGCGCTGCACTAGCCGCACGCCTCCAGCTCCTGGGACTCCCCGCCTGCGCCGAAGCGCGCGTGTGCCAGGGAGTGGCAGCGGCGGCGGATGCCAGCCGCGGTGATGGAGAGGCCGCCCGCGCAGGCCACCGAGCGGACGCACTCCACCCGCGGCTGCCGCGCTGTCGGCCTGCAAGGAGCGGCAGCTCAACCCGCTCCTCATGGTTGGCGAACCGCACATGCCGCCTCTCGTCGGACTCGAGGACGCTGCAACTGTCCTTCTCCGCGAGGTGCTGTCCGCAGACTGCCGCCTGGCCCACCCTGCGGGCCTGCTCCTGGGCGAAGCCCGCCAAGGCGCAGTGTTCGCCCACGGTCTGGGCGTTCTCGGCGTGCAGCCGTGCTCCCAGCTTGGCGGAGCGGCAAGCGTGCAGGGTGCTTCGCCTCTGCTCCTCCGTGAGTCGCCCGTCGAGCTCCGCCTGCCTGCTGCCGTGGGCGGCAACCTTGTTCACCCTGGATCCGCCAGGCTCGGGGGCGGCGTGGCTCCTGCTCCAGAGGTGGGCGCTGGCCACGGTCGGGCACGCCGCATAGGCCAGCTCCCTGCGCGGGCCCTCGGCCGTGCCGTGGCAGTCGATGCGGGCCTCCTCGACCGCAAGGCCCGCGTAGTGCACCCTCTTCCAGGCCGCCGAGTCCTCACCGCCGCGCGCCGCCTGCTGTGGAAGGAGGGCCCTCCTGACGGTCCCGTGGACGCCCGCGATGAGGCTGCCGCCATCGGCGCCTTGAGCAATCGCCCAGCTTGCGTGTCCCAAGGCGCAGAACTGCAGGTCGACCGATGAGCCGTCCTCGTACAACTTGCCATTGGGCGTAACGTCGGGCGGCCTGCATGTCCACCAGAAACTCATGGCGTCCGTGCGAGGCCCTTGAGGAGGCGGCGGCGCTGACAACCAGCTCCGAGCAACGTCCTCCCCTGCTGCCTCTCCGAGGGCGCGAACCCGCACGGCGCTCCACAACAGCGCTGGCGAGGCCGAGCCCCTCCGCTGGGCCGCAAGCATGGGGAGCTCGAATCTCCTGTGCCAGTGTGCGTACGTGAGGTGGGAGGCCATTATGTTCCTCTCGCGCTCGCTGAGCTTGCTACCTGGCCCGATGACCTCCTTGAAGGCGTCCCAAACGAAAGAGCCAGACGAAGAAGAGGCACTGGCCGGCTTACGCATCTTATGCCAATACGAGGCGCGCCTCGCATCAAAGCTGGCCTCCAGGCCGAGCTCACGCAGCCCCAGCTGCGTCGAGTCCAGCACGTCCCCGACGTCCGTGACGAGGCACCGCTCGGACCTGAAGTACCTGCCGATTCTGCCCAGGGTGAGGACAACTGCCTCCGCGTGGAAGTTGCTGTGCACCCAGGGCCCCGCAGCTGACGCCTGCCGCGTGGCTGCAGCCTCGAGCGCCCCCCTGAAAGTCGGCAGGGGAAGCTCGCCCGAGTGTAACAATCCTGCAAGAAAAAGGGGCGTGCGGCCCGTGATCAGCCCGAGTGGATATAGGTCGAGGCTTCTGCAGAGCTCCGCGCACCGCATCCTGAGGCCGAGGGCCACGCTGCGGGGGAGCCGCCCCGCACAGAGGCACACGGTGACACGGCCACCGCACAACTCTCCGTCGGCCATCGCCGTTGCCATCGCCGCCGCCGCTGCCGTCGTCGTCGTCGTCGTCGTCGTCGTCGTCGTCGTCGTCGTCGTCGCGTCGTCGTCGTCGTCGCCGGCGGCGGCGGCGGTGGCGGTGGCGGCTTCGGCGTCGGCGTCGGCGACGGCGTCGGCTTGCGGCAGCTGCGGCGTCGGCGGCAACGGCGTCGTCGGCGGCATTGGCGGCGGCGGCAGTCGGCGGTGCCGTTGGGTGGCGGCAGTCGGCGTCGTCACGATGTGTTCACCGAGCTCCGCCATCGTGATTTGTTCGCACCGTGGACCCTCAAGGGTCTGGAAGCCATTCCCAGGACTACCCTTTTGTTACCTGATCTCTTTCCTGACGGCGCAGGGGCCGAACGAATGCAAGAGGCGTACGTTGCCTGATGGGGGCACTTGGTAACGCGAAGTGGTCTGGGTTCACATCGCGCCAGCCGGCTCCTGCGGATCTGCACGCGGGGGTAAGAACAGCTCGGCTACACGGCAAACGCGCAGCGACCCCTGCGGTGCAGGCTCCCTGCTTTCGGCGCCGTGTCGCGCGAGACGAGCCTGACCAAGAGCGCGGGGCGCGGCGCCCGCATCGCCAGGAACGGAATGAGCATGCGACGCTCGAGCGGGTAGGTTTGTCATATGGATGCGGGCGCAGAGCGCGCGCGCCTGCCCTCCTGCAAATTCTGCCCTGGCCACGTCCAGACTTTGGCCCACCCCCCTCTCACAAATGTGCCTCCACCTCTTGGACGTCAAGAGCTGCGCTGGGCTCTCTGACTGTTCACTCACACCATCTTCTTCGGTCGTCCTGAACGGCGCTCATCCCCAGCTTTGGCCACAACCCTGCCCCCCCAAAGCTGCAGGCTCGCGCCGCGATGGCGTCGGCGTCGGATCCCGACACTGCGTGGATTGTTGTAGCCTTGAACGGGCGCGGCTTGCTGATACTGCGAGGCCAATTCGTATGCACCACCGGCGCCCGAAAAAAACGAATCGTCGCAACGATTATCGGAGAGAGGGCCGCGCCAGACGACGCCACGCTTCCGCGGCGAACACGAGCGCAGCGCTGCGCACAGGCGCCATGGGAGGGGAGCTCCCAAAACAGAAACCGCGCATCTTGGTGGTGGCTGTGTATGAAAACCAGACCCCTGTGCAACCAAGTGTACACAGTGGGGGGCCCGACCACAATAAACCTTCCACAAGAAACCCAACCCTGAGTCCCCAGGACGTCCATCGACTTTAGGTGTGGGAGCGTCGCGCTTTCCACAACAAACCATCGAGAACCAAGAAACCCGGGGCACCCTGGGGGCAAGCAGGGTGCTTCTTGGCATGGGTCCCCACTTTGCACCACCGCCGCGTTTGTCTTGGTGACGTTCGCTCCCGCCCCTGGGCGCGAGGAAGTAGGGCCGGTCGTCGTTGGCGGCGGAAGCGCGGCAGCGATTGCCCACATCTAGAGCCAAACTGCGCCGAAACGGATCGCCTATTTTTTCCCGATCTTTGTGCTGTTGGTCCTCTACCGCTAAGTCGGGCCTGTCCTCCTACAGGGGTTTCCACTAAAAAACAAAAGTAGCCACAAAAAATCCAGAAATTAAGCAATACTAAGCAAAGTCGTTCCCAGACTATTTGACTATTTTTAAATATTCCTCATGTAGAGGGACAGGCCCGACTTACCTCTACCGCGTTCGGAGATATCGAAGACGAGGTCGACATCGGCCGATCGCGGCCCACTGGCAGCGAACCCAGGCCCTCGACGTCATGTTCTCTCACAATTACGTGGAGCCCCAGAGGTCCCGATTCATTCGCCCGAGCCGGCTTCGCATGTGAGCGTTTTTTTGTTCGGCGTTTCGACAGTGGGCGGAGGGGGTGGGGAGGGGGGATCTGGCTCCGGACCTCTGCTTAATGCGGCTGTTTGGAACTGTGCGTCCTATGGGGGAGGGACCCCACCTGCTCGACACAGGCGCCCAAAACAGCCAAGATCTACTCAAGGGGGGGGAAGGGGGGCCCGCGCCGATCGGCAAAACAATGAAGAAAAAAACGATCACCATCCCGAATCGTTGCTTGAAGGTCCTCGAGTTCGGCGATGGCTCCGAGAGGCCCAACTTGTTTTTGTTTCGCGCTCTTTTCATACGCAAAAATCCAGTCGCAATGCTGTCTTGGGTTGCATCTTCGGGGGGCCTTATCTGTCCTGTCGCGGCCCTATCCGCGTCGAATCCGTGTCGAATCCATGTCGGCCTCGTCGGATCCGTGTCGAATCCGTGCCGAAACCGCGTCGAGCCCACGCTGAATCCGCGTCGAGTCTGCACCGAGCCTGCGCCGGGCACAAGAAGAAAAACACCGATTCGGGGGACAGGCGAGGTCCCCCGAGGAGGCAGCGTACGATCTGTTGCCCCTTCACAATCGAAGTCAAGGTGGGACTCAGCCGAAGGGGAAGAAGGGAAGATGGACGAGGACACTCCCTAAACCACCTACGCCCAGAGGGCTGGTGGGATTGAGAGAAGGAGGAGGAGGAGGAGGAGGAGGAGGAGGAGGAGGAGGAGGAGGAGGAGGAGCGACCTGTACGAGGACAAGGGGGGGGGGGCGTAGAAACGTAGGGGGTCCGCGGTCGGTCGCCGCGTCGACGCGTCGGCGCGCTGCCGCACGCCCGCCGCACTGCTGGCCGCGGGCCGTCCTCCTCGAAGAGGCCTCCTGGCCGGGGTCGAGTGTCCAAGTCGGGAGCCCCAACCGAACCCAAAGGAACGGAAGAGGGCCGAATTGAAAAGAGAGGGGCCTCAAGAACCTCGAGGCCCCACGCGGAGATCAACCCAAAGGTCGATCCGAAATCAGCCAAACGGGCTGACAAACAGTGAAGCCTAGGCCGCCACAAGGCCCAGTCCAGACGACAGGTCGAGGGAGTCGCGCCGCATTCAGGGGGACGTAAGACCTGGGTACAGGGGACTCGGAAATCCCCGACGAGGTCGTCAAAAAAATGACGAGGCCGAGCCTGCATCTTGACGAGGCCTCCCGCTGCAGACATCCCACGAAACTCCTCCTCGTCAAAATCCGAGGCGCGGTCGTCAAAAAACGATGGCGAACCCGAGTCCCGGCCGGGTCTTACGCTCCCCCGACGCATCGCCGATGCATCGGCGATGCATCGAGGATGCGCCAGCGATGCGTCGTGCGTGGGCGACGTCGACGTGAAGCAGATCGGGCTCCACATCGAGCTGCGTCGTCGGTGCGTCGGTGGTGCGGCGCGATCCTCCGACTCCACTCACTCCGACACTGTCTAGGAGGCCTAGAGGACCATACTCCTCCTGGGCCCGCCGAACGAATTCAATCGAGGGGAAGACAAGGTTTAGGACAGCGAAGGGGTCCTGGTTACATATTGCAGGGAACTTGACGTTAGGTGCATAGGGGAGCCAGGATTCGGGGACATCGACGCCAATCCACGCCAGAGAATTCAAAAAATGCAACTACGAGGGTACACATTGGGGGGTGCGACGGGGTAGGACAGCAAAGGGTATGGTAGAGAACCAACTCACGTAGCTATCTTTCCGGACGCCTCCTGGCGCCGATGTATCGAAGAATGGGCCTGGTGGCAGGGCGGGAACTAGCTGCATGCAGCAGGTCTTGTTGTAAACCCCCCTTTCCCTACCCTACCCGTTCGTGCGGCCCGCGTCTGTTCAGGGGCCAAGGCCTGCTTGGACACCCGAGCCGTCAGGCGGGAACGGGTCCAGCGCAATGGGGGGATGGGCGGGAGGGGGCAGGACTGGGGGGACAAAAAGGTACCAGGGTGTATCCGTTTCAAAACGGAGCTCTGGCCTGAGTGGCAGGCTGATGGAGAGCTTGCATCTCAAGGGGGAGGGCTTCCCGTTGTGAGAAAAGCGCGCTGAGGCCTCACGAGGACGGGACTTCAGCCGGGCGATGTCAAGGCGCAGCACTGCCTGTTCCCGGCCTGCCGGATCTACCTCCCTGAGATGATCAAAGCTGCGGGCCTCGGGGCCTGTAAGCACCCACTCCTCGGACCCCTCCTGGGGTGCACTCTGGCCCAGAGTTTCGAGGAGAATCCAGCCGTGGCGACGAGGGCTCTCCAAGAAGAGCAGCGGCATCCGTGCCTACTCCTGCTATCAAGGACGCCGGGTGTGCTGCGAGCGCGCCTCACCTGTGCTCAGACACGCGGTGCCTGATTTTTGTCAATGCGGGGGCACGGGAAATCCAGACCCTTTTCCTGGGACTGGTCCTTTATCCTGAGCCGCCTTTTGGCTAGAAAAACTGCCCAAACCTCGCATCCCGATTTTTTCACGACGCGAACATGTCTGGGTGCCCCCCCTGCTGGCATCGGGGACGTACTGGTCCCTGGGTCCATGCACACCCGGCTCAGTCTCAGGCGTTGCAAGATCCGGCATGCTGCACGCAAGCCTGGGCCGATGCACATCTGACTCTGCAAGATCCTGCAAGATCTGGCGCTCTGGCTGGCCCTGTTTGCCTTGACCCCCGTCTCCAGGCTCCAGATGGCAATGCGTCATTTGGCCTCCGGCGGCCTGGAGTCCCGCGCGATGCCGACCCCCTTGGGTTAGGTCGGGCATGTCCCCCTACAGGCGGATTTTGGACGAAAAACTAAAATAGTCAAACGAATACACCAAAATAGTTCAAAAAATGTTCAAAAATCGACTATTTTTACTATTTTTGAATATTCCTCCTGCAGAGGGACAAACCCGACTTAACCCTGGGGCGGGGCGGAGGCTGGCCGGCCTCTGGGCGGGCCTCTCAAAGGCGCACTGGAAGAGCACCCGCCGCGGAAGACAGGACAAAATAACAAGCGGGTGGCTCCCCCAGGTGGCTTCGCAGGCATGACATGCTTGCGCCGCTAAAAAAAGGTCGACGACGGGAAAGGCTTCCCCGTTTTCGGCTTCGGGGGGCTCTCGCCGGGCTCCGTGACCC